AGGTAGACGGGGACGCGGCGACGGACGTCAGACAGTGTCGGTGGCGTCCCGCGGCGGCGGCAACGGCGGTGCGACGGCCGCCGTCATCGTTGCAGCGGTAACCGTTGCCGGTGGACGGGTTACGATTGTGCCGTGCCGGGTGAGATTACGCGACCGGGACGTTGACGACGAGCGGTGCTGCTGCGCAAGGGGAACGACACGCGGCGGCGGTACGCGGAAAAACGGGAGAGAACTGACGCGCGGGGCCAACGGGAAGGATCGCGAGAATCGTGTGCCGCCGTGCGCCCAACGCAGACGAAGCGGTTCGGTACACTGAATGTCGCGCGAAGGGTCTTCGCGACTTTTAACAGGATCGCCGTGGCGGCGGTGCGGTGGCATGGACAGTAGCGCGTAGCCGTCGCCGCGCGGCACTGATTCGTCGGCGTCTAACGTTGGTCGCCATCTAGCGGTGGTCCGAGTTCGACCACGCGGCACCCGGCGCTTACGTAATAATATTGCACTTACGCCTCGTGGGACCTGCATAGGTGTGACGAAGCGTTTAAACGTCACATCGGACGCGCGGCGGATCCAGAACCACGATTTTTCGACGCGAGTGACGAGGAGATGGAAAATCGAAATCTCGAAGATAATCATTTATCCATGGTGAATATGTTTTCGTTGCGATACCAAAATTCTTCGAGGAGAAATAGCATGCCTTGGTTGTAAACGAAGATCACACCCGCGACCCTACCGCCAACATCCACCACCGGACGAACATAAGAATTATTTTTCGACTAACGTTTTATAGGTGGAAGTGTCGGTCAATAATTAATGATTTTATAATTGGTTTCTGTCGTAAAACTACTTAGCTAATTAAAAATTATTTCGATAAAACGTTAATATTCATAATTTTTCGAACATTTTTTTTTCTTTCGTCTTCTGATGCATTGCGTTAGTCGTCGGAAGGGAACATTTATAACCCTAAGCATTTTCTACACAACTAAACTTTTCAATAAAATACTTAATTTTATTTATACATAATATCTACTTAATGTATGTACTATAATAAAAAATTATAGTTTTTTAATGTTCTTATTATACTTAATTTTACTCTATATCGAAACATTTTTAGTTTGCTTTATTATATATTTTTATAATTTTAAAAAAATTGTTTGCGTTCACAGAGGCCCACAACCGTGAACAGTTACCCCTGGGTCTCTGATGGTCTTAATCCGGGCTTGAAAGCCAATACCTCTTGTGACACCTATTATTATAAATTTAAAAGGCACTATAAATTATTGTATTTCGGGAAAAGGTTTTTAATGAAGATCAGTTTACTGCATTAATATTGTGTATATAATGTTTATAATAAATGTTTATTAGTATATTTTTAAGTTTTTTTTTTAATGACAATTAACTGTTAAAAATATCAATTTATTAAAAATATTTTGCAAAATACCTTAAATAGTGTTATAATGATTTGAGTATTAATATAAATTAAATATTTAAATTCTTTCAAGATTATTAGTTCAATATTTAATAGTTAGTAAAAAGGTTTAAAATAAACGTATATTTAATATAGACTATATTAACGCAATAGTAAAATAATAATCATGTTTACACAGTGGCAACATCAGGGTTCTTTTTTAGTTAAGGTCAATAGGAGGCCAACAAGTATAAATTAGGGCTAAAAATTAAAATTTTAACAAACCATAATAATAGTTATAATTAATATGAGGTAATTAACATACTATATTTTAAAATTGTAAATTATTATAAAACTATGATAAGACTAATTTAAAATATTTCTGCTTATAAAAAATTATTATATTGTAATGTCTAAGGTCAGGCCAGTGTTAGTGCCACTTATAGGGCCATAGCCCTACCTATTTTCACCACTCAGTATATAGAAGATAGTCAGGGCTGAAGCTAATAAACAAGGACGGACTGAGGCCCCCAAGGCCAGGACGGACATAAGTTTTACAAACTAGCAAATAAGCAATTCGTGTTACATGAGCAAATATAGCTTGAGGCCCAAACAGAAATATTTTAGAGGAACTGGGTGGGTTTTTCCACTTACCCACCCTGCCAGTCCACCCCTATTAACAAATGAGGAGTGGGTTATAAACATACAAATTTGCCAACTACTTTCTAAAACGAAATTCAACAATACTAATATTACTTAATTTGTTGATGATCGCCGACTATATAAATAAGATAAATAAGTCTTTTATAGGTGGTGATATTGCACTCCCCACACCCCCTAATATTGTCCCTGTATACAGTACATAGAGTATACTCTCATCATATGACTTAAACTGTCACACTATCATGTGTTTTATTTTGTTATCATTTTCATATTTTAAATTCCGGTCTTAACCCATTTTAGTCAAAAAATACATTATTCATTCATATAATTTGGAATAGAGATAAATTCATGAGGAATTTTAAACTAGTTTCGTCCAATTATAACAGTCATGTAAAACTAACCTTTATACTCCAATGATAGCGTCATTATATGTCAGGCAGGTCCATTTCCCGTATGTAATCAAATTATTAGTAAAAAGAATGACAAAAATGATAATAATCCAAATAAATGAACCGTATCTACATCATCTTCCCCACCGTAATTACTATCATACAACGTAAATATAAAGAAATTGAATTAATTTATCACACAAAAAAAATACTCTTTTACCCACGGACACAGACTAAATATACTAAGTAGATAAGCTACTCTACGCCTTTATCATTGAAAATGATGAAGTCTGGCGGGAGTGTTCTATCATGTTTTCGGTTGGCAAAAAAATATTAAATACTTGCTGGGTACTATCCTTACTATTTCTTCAATAAGTCAAATTTAAATAAATGAAAAAACATAAAAGTTAAATATTATTGAAGAGGAAAAAAACTATGTTCATCATAAATATTATATTTTTCACGACATAAATGTTTTTTTATAGTTTCTAATAAAAACATGTAGTACCTATCACAAATCATCTGCTGGTCCTGGTAGTTATTGCACGGGCCTTAAGCACGGTCACGTGGGTAAAACCAAACGCACCCCAGGCCGTACGACGTATAAACGCTTGCACCCTGTGACACATAACATAAATTCCACAATTTATTTTGTATTGTATTGCTTTGCCGCGAGATCATTCTTATATTTAATTATTCATATTATTATGATTGTAATTATCCGTTTGTTATTATATTATTTGGCACATCAGTACACTCCTAAGCTTGTCGGTATTATTTATTACAAATTATTGCTTGATAATGTTAATGGTCACCCGTCCTACAGTGCAACACTAATTTGAACATCTGGGTTTAACTTAAAAACACATAAGTGCCATCACCAGTCAAGGCTAATAGCTTAACCCGTAGGAGCATTGTTTGTACACTATAATTAAGTTCACTTTACTGTTTTATAAGATTATCTACGCTTGTTATACAATAATTTTAACACGTTCACAACCGCATATCCACTATGCAACACGAGGCATCTTATAAATAACTAATGTCAACAATAGTTGACTTGCTATCAATATTATTAATAGGATTTCCCAATAGGTCCCCACATAGTTTTTTAACGATTATACTAATTATATGGTTTTATTCAACGCATTTTTCTTTATCATATGGCTTCATTAATTGTTGAATAACTCTACTAGTTTGCGTTATATTTCATTTTTTAAATTCATAATTTATTATAGACTTTAATGTTCTAGTTTTCTATAATGATGCCCATTTTAACATTCGGTGGTGAACGTAATTTTCTTACAATAAAACCAATATTATAATAAAGAATATTATCCTAAATAGGAATCCTATTACTAAATTGGTCAATCTCACCCATAAAAAATAATATTGGATCATCCGTAATCCACACACGACACTGGCATTGTTTATTAGTTGTATAATTTAATATTTTAATTACAAAATTATTTATTAAAATTAGTATTAAATGTATAAATAATATAGCAAAATATATAAAACTGAAAATATATCAAACAAAATGTGGCAAAAAATAATTTGTTGTGCCAACCAAGAATATGATGTGACCGTTTTTAAAGCTTCACGTGACAGAAATATGTTATCTAGTTAGTATAGAAATCTGTGCCCACCACAGATATATATTAATATATAGACAACCCTCCGGAAATTACAAATCAGGAGCAACCGAACACCATTAATTATACATTAATAACAATTTTACCTCTATTTATATTTATGAAGGCATTCTTGGCCACCTTAATTTTCGAATAAAATTATAGAAATCATTGACATGCAAATGATCTTCAACCCATTAAAAAATCCAAACCGATTTTCCTGAAAACTATAAAATGATTATCTATTTTTTAAAATCATCGATGTTACATCGGAGTACCATACTTAACAGCTTATTCAGGCTCGGATTAAGGCGTAAGCAGTGTAGGCTTCAGCCTACACAACCACGGATTTAGGGGCACGGGCACTACATACTATCCTTATTTTTTTTTTCTAAACTAGAAAAATTGTACAATCTGTAAAATAGTTATTGACAATAAGCACAATACTATCCTGATGTTATTTTTATTTAAATAATATCGGAAATTTGAAATAGTAATAATCAATGCGTTTTGTCGTGCGGTCTTCTAAACCTCGTTTTATTTTTAGATTGTTATTTTTCCGTAGAACCGGTCGCACACCGATAACGTGTGTAGAGCCGCAGACGGCAGACAATGCCAGTGCGTTTACTTATTTATATTTGTCGTAGCTCGCCGCCGATGGTCATAAATTGGGTAAAATAGTATAAAATATTAAATAGTATTAGTATTTCGTATACACGCGTCACGTGCATCGAAAATTCGTCCGTTTGATCGTACGATTCGTACGTATGTTTTGTTAACACTATTGTAACTTGTAAATTTAAATTATAAGGGTTTTACTTTAGTGCGAGTAGTGCATTTTATATATAGTTTAGTGTTCGATATTTATGTAAAAATGGATCAGAAACGACATATTAGTGGAGCACAAGCGAGAAAGCGTGCAATTGATAAAAAAGAAAAAGAAGTGATTTTATTAAGTAAAATACCTAGGTTAAATAATTTTTTCAAACAAATAAATAACATTACCCCTAGTTGTGTTGAAGATAATAAACTAGAATCTTCAAATGATATAACTATTACTAATAATTGTTCTACTACTTCTACTTCTATTCAATGTACTGCGTCTTCTTCAGATCAATCAGTTGTTGATATAAATGAGGAATCAGAAAAATCTGAGCTAAATGTCATTCCTAATCCTCTTACGCAGAATAATACAAATAATTTTAAAGATCCAGCAGATTGGACAAATAGTAATATATGTCGTAATTATATTGCAAAATTTGGATATGATCAGAACATTGATGCAGATTTTACCTCATCAAAACGAACTTATTCTGATTATGATCGTTATTGTAGTAAATCAATCTTTACGAAAAATCGAAAAAACGGAGAAAATGTTTCACGGAAATGGCTTGTTTATTCAATTTCAAAATTTGTATTATTTTGTGCTCCATGCAAATTATTTGGATGCAGTACTCAACTGGGAGATGCTGGATTTAATGATTGGAAAAATGGACATTTAGTTATTTCCAGGCACGAAAATTCTTTGGCACATAAAAATAATACATTAAGTTTTATTACATTACAAAGTGATGTAGGTAGAATTGACACTCAATTGGCAACACAAGTGACTGATGAAATTAATTACTGGAAAGCTGTTCTTCATCGAGTTGTTGAAGTAATTAAATTTCTCGGTGCAAAAGGCTTATCATTCAGAGGTGATAATGAACAATTTAACAAAATTAACAATGGGAACTTTTTGGGAACGTTAGAGTTACTTGCTAAATTTGACCCTTTTATTGCTCAACATATAGAAAAATATGGGAATAGAGGGAAAGGAACTCCGTCTTATTTATCATCCACAATCTATGAAGAACTTTTACTTTTGATGAAGAATGATATAATTAAAATTATATTAAAAGAATTAAAAGCAGCCAAGTATTATTCTTTAATTGTTGATTCTACACCTGATATAGCAAACGTCGATCAACTTGTTATTGCATTAAGATATGTTTTACCTAGTGGTGTACCTGCAGAAAGATTTTTAATATTCATTCCAAACAGTGGTCATAAATCTAAAGAAATGAGCAATGTTGTAATGGATTTTCTTAATTCACACAATATACCAATTGAAAATTGTCGTGGCCAGAGCTACGACAATGCGAGGAATATGTCAGGTCAGTATTCTGGATTGCAGTCAAGAATTAAAAGTTTTAATTCATTTGCAGAGTATGTACCATGTTCTGCACATTCTCTTAACTTGGTCGGAACGTGTGCAGCAGAAAGTTGTAATTCTGCTACTTCATTTTTTATGCTTCTCCAGGAACTATACAATTTTTTTTCTAGTTCTACTGCACGTTGGGACATTTTAAAAACATATTTGAAGAAAAATCTTAGTGTAAAAAATTTATCAGTAACTCGCTGGAGTGCTCGTTTTGATTCTTGCCATGCTTTATTTAATTCTTATGCATTTATAATTGAAGCTTTGCATAGTATAGTTGATAATCAGAAAGAAAAAGCTGTATATAAAGTAGAAGCTAATGGGTTGCTTGCAAGATTAAAAACTTTAGAAACTGGTTTAATGATATGCATATGGAATTCAATATTAAACAGGTATTTTCCACTCTATAAATTAATTATTTTTAAATAATAAATTATGCTTTCATTTATTTTATTTTATTAGGGTCAGCTTAATAGATAAATAAATTAATATAAAGTTTAATATGATTTTAGTTTTAATGCTACAAATAAAAAATTACAATCAACTGACATTGATCTTCATACAGTATTAGAACTATATAATGGCCTTGAAAATTACTTGGTACAGATCAGAGATGATTTTGATGTTTTTGAAAATAAGGCTGTAGAAATTACTGGTTGTTCGGAGTATACCAATGATTCCAAGAGAAAAAAAAAGAGAAAGGTATGTTTAACTTATTAATTTTAAAATACACATAAAATAATTTGAAAAAAGTCATAAACATTAACAACATTAATAACTATTTTTTTTTTTAGGCTATGGCTGATGAATCAAGATCTCAACCTCTCACAGAAATCACAGGGAAAATAGATTTTATTAGAAATGTATATTATGTGATAATTGATACTCTTAAATGTCAACTTAGTTCAAGAAGACAAGCTTATGAAAAAATATCAGATATTTATGGGTGTATACCCACATTGTATAAAACACCGAGTTCTATTGTTATAAGGAACACATGTGGAACGTTGGCAAAATATTTTATTGATGATGTTGAAAACTCAAGCTTACTTATAGATGAGTGTATTCTTTTTTCAAAATTAATTTCCACGGATAAAAATGTAAAATCTGTTCTCTCTATGTATAAGTACATCAAGACTAAAGAATTAGAGTGTATGTTTCCAAATTTAGAAATAGTTATGCGTATGTACCTTAGTACAGCAGTTTCAAACTGCTCAGGCGAAAGAGCTTTTTCTGTACTTAAAAGAGTAAAATCCTACTTGAGGTCAACCATGAAGGAGGAAAGACTGAATGCATTAGCAATATTTAGCGTTGAAGCAGAATTGGTTGAAAAATTAGATTTTAATGATACTATTAACACATTTGCCCATCAAAAAGCAAGAAAAAGAAAAGTATAAAATAATGATTTGTTACTTTTTGTAATATGATTATTTTATATTTTTATATATCTAAAATATATTTTGTTTAATTTTAATTTTATGTTTTTACTTGTTTTCACATAGGTATTATATACATGTACATATTGATGTGGCTAATAAACCTAAAATAAAGTTTTATTATTTATTCAAGTATCGAGTAGAGAAATGTGTACAATATTTTTTTTTTAATTGGGAGCACCAAATTTTTTACAGCCTATGGGCACTATAGATCTTAATCCGGGCCTGAGCTTATTAGTAAATAATAATCAAGTTATTTATTCTACTAGTCCACACGAATTGTTTATCACTTCCAAAATTTCTTCTGGTATTCATTTTTACCTGAAAATATCTATATAATAAATTATTGTAAATGTTTATATAAGACGTATAGTTACTAATATTTAGTAACAATGAATAATAGCAGTTTTAAACCAAATATTAAGTCGTAATAGTGAACTAATAGTGCTCATGAACATACCTTCTCTTTAAATTATAATGTTCCTATTATTATTCTCGTTGATCAATGAAAAACTTAGTTGACATCCGGTCAAGTCGGCAAATTTTTTTTTCGATTTAGTTGATAGGTATTACTAACATTAAACCTGTCGATTCAAAAAACTTAAGATTACCTTCGATTCAATCAAAAATGTTAACATCTACTTGAGATCTAATATTTTAGTCAAACATGAATTCTCGGCTGATATTCCATCGAATCTGATTTACTCCTTCGGAGTAATCAAACTCGACTATGATATTCCGGAATGCGATTTTTAAGAAGGACGCGTTCGCCCTTTCCAATGGATAACTTCAGACATATAACAGTAAACAACGATGGTGTTATCGTATCCACTCGCATTGTAAAGGTATATTTTTATCCCCAAACTAAATCATGATTTTCAATATCACACTGGAAGTTAATCCTAGTATCAGATCTCCGGTACGCAATGATCAGTATCTTCGTTTCGGGCAAACTCAAAAATACTGTCGGAGTGATCCCAGATGTAACCACTGTGATGTTATTAAAAACTCCATCGGTGATTGTCCGAATGTTTCCTCCACTGACCCCTCTTATCGCTTTCATAAACTTCTACATGTTGCCAGCGAATGCAGCTGTCAAGAATGGATAGATCAGAACAAAATCAAGAAAATTATGGCTAATGAAAATATTTCTTATCAAGATGCTTATCAAAATGAATAGCGTTCATAATTATAAAATATAATTCAATTTAAATTTATCAGTCTAATTTTGTTTTAAAATATTCAATTTTAATTCACCCATTTATTTTTATGTTTCTTTTCAGATTTTGAATTTTTTTTTTTTACTTCAAGCCAAATCAAGTTTCCTCCGAGAGCCGGGGATCCCCTTTTCATTTGTATTTTTGATTTTTACACTTATATTTAATGGTTTAAGAATTAAATTAATTTAATCTACATAAAATATTTTAAAACTTTTAAATCATGTGATTCAAATCATCTAATAATAATAATCACTTAATAAATCGCTTTCATAATTATAAAATATAATTAAATTTATATTAATCAATATAACTTTGTTTTAAAATATTCAATTTTAATTCATTTATTTTTATGTTTCTTTACAGAACTTGAATTTTTAATAGTTTCAACCTAAACAATATGTCCTCCGAGAGCCGGATAACCACTTTTATTTATTTTTTTTGAATTTTATACTTTAAATATCTTATGGTATGAAAATCAAATTCATTTAATTTACATAAAATATTTTAAAACTTTTAAATCATATGATTCAAATTAACTAATAATAATAAACTCTTAATTGTTAAAAAAAATTGTTGTACTTCTGTATATAAATACTCTGATATTGTTAACAAATAGCCTCCTGTTTCCAAAACCAATAAACCTATAGTTCCCATTCGCATTGAGGACTTTCCAATTTAAATGATATTCTTCATTTTTTTAATTCTAAAAAATCTAAGCCCAAAACGCGTTACTCGCCTTTACCAAAAATACATTTCTTTACTAATTCTCTAGTATCTTACTCTTCTCCCAAAGGAATTTATTTTAATTACTCCATAGATCAAGACCCGGCTTTAGTTCACAAGCCTAATAATACATTTTCCTGAGTAATACTTTATCACTCATTTTATCAGAATGACTGATAAATTTACTCATGATATGCTCTCCATTTCCTCTTACCTCTCACCTGTAATAGGTTACATCTTTTTTTTTTGTTAATTTTTTTAGGTTATTGTATTTTTTTTTCTTTTCCTGTTATGATCACACTGATTTACCGACGAGAAGATGGCCGACACGATTTCCCGTGATAAGTATCTTCCCTGTGTTAATTTTAATCAGTGCCAGGCCTTGCACATATTATGTAACTCATCTCCTTTGGCTCCTGTTGAACAAATTTCCTAATAGCTATTACACATACTTGATGGGGCTCTCCCTCCTCCCTTTTATATATATTTAAAAGTCCATTATACGTTCTATACTTGATTATAGATGTTTCTTCTTTGGCTCAGCTGCCTTTTCAAACTGGTAAAAACTCAACAATATTCAAAGTAATTGCCTAAGAATTATTAAAGTTTACGTCTGGTCATCCTCCCTCCCAGCAATAGAGGTTGAATCTTTGAGCTCACCATTTAACATTAAATGTCGTTGGCTCACTGGTAAATTTCTTCTGAAATCCTTATCTCACGCTGACTTTATTAGACTTGATTCTTTCTATTCTCTGTATTAAAATTGTCGCTATGTTTCTAAATCTGGTTCCGTCCTCTCTTTGACAGCTAACTACATTTGCAGTTTTCATCAATATATTTTAAAGTATACTAAACAACTTATTTATGAGCAGACCTATGATGCTCTAATAAGTTCCACGCTTGTCAACCTCTTCCGTAGTACTCGTATTTGTCCTATCAATTTAAAGTCTACCTCTCCCATGATAATTAACAACTTTTTCTATGATTTTATTGATAGTAATTTTCCAGATTTTGCCCTAAATTATATGGATGATTCCATTTTTCCTCTTTTGGCAGAGTTTTCTATTTATATTCCTAAATTACATGAAACATTAACAAGCAATTTGTCTCCGTCGTCTATTTATTTCAGGACTGAGTGCTTCGTCTTTATTGAAGTTTTTACTCTTATTTCTTCTTTCCTCTCCACCGCTAATAAGTTTTTAGTTGCTTCGGATTCATTATCGTATCCCTTATCTCTTAATTCTAATCCTTTTAATTCTTTTATATTGCCTCTACTTATTTGCATTAATGCTATTTTACTAAGTGTTAGTCAATTACATTTCAATATAACATTTCTTTGAGTTCCCAACCATGTAGAGATTCGTGATAATGAGATTGCCGACACTTAGTGAAATCCGGAAGAGGATTTTTTCCAATCTTATTGGCACTTCCTTTTCTTTTATTCCGTGGTTTGACTTCACTCTGATCCTTTGACGTTATGTTTCTAATCTTTGGTCTACTTATTAAAATAATTAACCTGCTAACTTTGTCACCAAATTTGAATTTTTTGTTCCAAATATCTTAAACTATATTTGAATCAACAAATTATCACTGTCCAGATCTTTTATTATTTAATTCAATTACCTATGCATGGGTCATTTTTTTCCTTTCATGTTTGCAAATTAAACCTTAATGATTTTTAATTTGTACGCTTCATAGAGAGGAAATTATTTACGATTTATATCACATTCTCTATCCACAAAACATCTTTCTTTAATTATTTCTCTAAATTCCTTAAACACTCCTTGTAATCTCTTTGCCATACTAAAATCTAATTCTGAACAGGTTATAATTCTTATCGTCTCGTTTATCCGGGAAGCTGGTTTTGTCTTTTAAATATTTGTATTTCAAACCACATTATGTCTTATTACTTTGTTTTTCTTATTGCATTACTATTATTGTATTATTATTATTATGAATATCTTTTATTTATTTTATATTATAATTTTTTTTTTTATTTTTCTCTTTTTGTAAAGTTATTGTTGTTATTGATCATTGTAACTGTCGAGCTTAATAATTTATAATTGAAAGCTGAAATTAAATTTTAAAAAAAAAGTTCCATATAATTATTTTTTAAGAATTCAAAGTCATTAGATATTAGGCAAACAACCATATAAACAACATTCTACAAACAAATTGTACATTTTAATGTGTTATCTTTAAAATATTCAATGATAACAATTTTATTTTAATTAAATAATCTGATTTATTTTTATTTTGAATATCGATGCATAAAAATAGAATATCGAGTTCGTAATTAATATTTATAAATATTTTAAGTTTAGATGAGTCACATGATTTTGAATATCATAAAGATAAAAGCAATAAAAAAAAAAAAATGATTTTGGTGAGTATCATTCTAGTATCATTCTATCTATCCATATTATCTACACCATTTATATATTAAAATTTTGAATGTTTACTAATAAATAACTAATAAGGGTGCGATATTTAATATTTATAAAGACTTTTTTACTAAAAAAAAATGTCTAAACGTGAAATTAAAAATACATGTTACGTAAAAAAGGAAAATAACTTAATTTCGATGAAAATTAATAAAAATATTGAACTCTATTGGCTTCAAATTATATAAACATTTAATTTTGCTCCAGATATTGTATTACATAATTGGCCACACAGTTAGGTAGCCCAATAAATTGACCAATTTAAACGAACAAATTCTTCAATTGTTTTTTTTATGTTAAAATAACTAAAAACTTTGTGATATGTTTATGAAAATATTGCACTTAGAAATATGGCAGTAAGGGTAAATTTAAAAAATTGTCTATGCTTAAAAAAATGTTATTTCAGTAATTATTTGTTATTTTTATTAAATGCCTATATGTCAAATAAAGGCAATAAAAATGGAATTGAACTTTGAATTTTTTAATCTTATTTAATCAATTTAAGCAACACAGAAAAGAATACTCGGCTATTTAATACAACATAACCAAGTACCATTACTGAAAATTAATTTAATTGTGATGTATGATAATTTATCAGCTGAAAAAATTTTTTATAATTATATAATTTAATAGATTTGATTGATTCATTAAGATTTAGGTTCAAATTATGAGTTAGTTACAATATGATTTGACTTATTAATTGAGAATTGAAAGTTGACTTAGTGAATTGAGACTTGACTTGATAAGTTGAGTCATTGAAGTGAATTGATTCATCCAAATGAGTCACAATCTACATCTTTATTATTATTTATTGATACTCGATAAATGTGTAGTTTTATATGTATTTATGTGTGTGAGTGCGTATGCGCGTGCATACGTATGATTAGGAATTACTGATGTGTATATATTAAAGATTTGCACGGGCCGGACTAGCCCGACTCAGCCCGTACCCAACCTGACCCGTACCGGACTTGGACCGGGCCGTGCCATAATATAAATATTGCGGGTTGGATATGGGTGGGATCGTAGTATTTTTTTCTTTGGAATGGGCCGATCAAAAATAAAACTACCTAAATATTACATAAGAGTACAATACTAATGCCGATTATTGGCGTTAGATAAGAAAACGTTTCCAAACTGATGAAGTAGGCTTGTGACAAATCATAATAAAAATTTGTTTATATTATTAGTGTATGCGATATTTATAATAATAGATCACTGATGAAAACAGATAATAAATATTACGTACGAACCCGGTCGGGTTGGACTTCAAAAAAAATAAGGACCGGAGTTAGGTGGGAGTATTTTGTATGTTTAAGTTTTGAGCCGGATCGGGCCGAAAAAAGGCCCGTGCAGATCTCTAGTACATATTTATACAAGAGGTGATTTATTAATCATTAATCATTGAACAATATCTATAATTTGCTTAGGTACATATTATTCACGGTATACATATTACCATAGATTATAAATGTATAAAATATTTCATTTACTACATATAGTTATTAATCATCATATATTCCTGAATTCTTTACCTAAGATATTTTTCCGAACATTGATTTGTATAAGCCACAAATCGAACTAAAATAATTAATGAATTCTTTCAAGTCTAGATAAGAGAATTAGAAATGTATATAATTGTATCTGTTTACAATTAAGAACCTATACGTTTAGATTACACACAAATTAATACAAAGATTTCTCGGTCAATCTATGGACTACTACAGCGTATAAAAAAACAAGACCATTCTTTAGAATATAACAAATTTATAAGAAAAATGTGCGTACCTCATTTGCATGTTCATTATTGGTATATTAAATTAATTAGTTACAACGGATTAAAAAAACAATATTCGTTCTAAGTGGACACCATTGGTTTTACGTCAACGAACAGTAGTCAGAAGTTATGACAACCTAAGACTTTTTCGTAAAATAGAGATTGGACTTGATCGTCTAACAGTACCGATGACGAAAACTTATGAAACGACGAATGGCGGCTACTAGGAGACGCCCGTGGTCGAGAAACACAACCGCGTTTATTCCTCCACGAACGAACAAACGCACACGTTTGTCGAACCTCCTTGTCAGGTGGTAATCACGTTTCGTTTGTTTCGTTTTTTTTTCCCAAACCCTGCGCGCTTCCGTCGTCACCGCCGCCGCCGCCCGTAAACATCAGACCGCGACAGAGCATAGCGTACGCCGCCGACAGTGCGACAGAGACGTCCATATATCTACGCACACCAACTCGATACACGCTACGCTTACGTTTACTTCTGTGTGTGTGTATGTTCGAGTGTGTGCCCACTGACTGCGGCTCTACTTTTAGCAATAGCTGCAACCGCAACTACTGTTCGTTCGTACTGGCACTGTTGTTTGTTGTATGCGCACTGTACAGTTGTACCCACACGACACCATCAGCTGCGGCAACAGCGGCTCGTTGTACATGAGATCTGAACGTCGTCCGTAGTTAACGTCGTAACAACCATCGCCAAACGCGCGCGCATATTGTCGGCAAGTACTTCAGCGGGAAGCATCCATTTCGTCAACGATATTATTCTTCATGTTTCACAATGAGTGATTATTCAGCGGTGAATCCGCCAACGGAAAAGAATCAGAGTCAAGCATTCGCGGCGGCGTTACAACGCGCTAAAGAGGTACGTAACACTGCTACGCGCGTCACACGGCACACCGCCGATCGCGCGTGTGCACGAGCGAATTGGTCGCGCGCTAACGGCTGCGGCAGCTATGATGAACGAGCGGTTACGAAATATGTTGCACACGCGTTCTCGCTTACCGTACCATCCGTGAAACGGTTGCAGCCATTCATCGTGGCCACGCCGACGACGCAACGGTGGTCTTTCTGGTGGTCGTTGCGGTTCTACTGCAATGTGTGACTACGATGACGGCTAATCACCCGCGTGTCTTGAATTGCTCGCACCTGTGCTCACAGTGTACGTGGTTGAATCACACTCGTCGCAACAACATGTGTTTATTGTTCAGACTTGTGATTCTTTTGACGCTCAGGGTATTTTTATACATTCTCAGTCGCGCGCCCTCCCGTTCCTAGGCGGGTTCAAGTAAAATAAACAGACCGTAGAAAACTCCACGTTGATGGTTTTGTAAACCCTTGCTATCAAGCAATGACTACATGGTCATTCGTACATATCGTTTCACCATTGCCGATGGTGGTCCTAGTTCAGTTTTCCCATCTGTTGTTTCCTCTGAAACATTGATTCCCATTTTATTTGGTTTTCAGTTGTTATTACACTTTATAATTTGTTTCTAAATCATTCAACATAGTGGAACATTATGTTGTCGCTAAACCAAGGAACAGTTGATAATGTAAAATTAATGTAGTTAATAATTTGATCAATTTAAGGGTAGATATAGAACCGAATCTGATTTAAAAATCTATAGATCGCAGTTATTGTTTTGACATTTTGTTTAATCTTACAGTATAGGTTAAAGGATTTGCATTACCTATATTGTTCTTATTAATTGTACTACAATTTTAATGAAACTACATAGGTTTCTTAGTTTGATTATCAAATTAAATTTTAATTATTGATACTATTGTCAATTTATAAATACAATATAATTATAATTAAAAACCTAAGATTTGTTTTTTTATCTTTTTGTATATATGAATGAGGTGATAAGTTAATTGTTAAAATAATTTTTGTTCAACTTAGATAAATAAAATGTTATTTATTTTAAAGACTATTAGCTTTAATTGAGCCTAAACAATATAAACTATCAATTTAATCATACGTCACAAAAATTTAAAAGAAAGTTACTCAAAAGTAGTTATTCTAACTTTTTAAATTGACACATAAATTAAGTTATAATCTTATGATCTTTTATTAATATTTTACTATGATTAAATTAGGTTAATTTAATATATTTATATATTTGTCAGTATGCAGTTGCTATAAAAGTTGTATTATTTTATAAAAATATTTTGTTTATACACTTTTAATTTATTCTTCTAGAACTATATTTTATGATCTATACTAGTTTTAAATTATATAAGTATAATTATAAATAAAAAAGTATATTTTCATTAATACTTCATCTATGGGTATTTATCCCTTAGGTAAAAGTAGTTTACTTGATTATATTTTTGTACTGAATTTTTCTATATATTTTTATGGTAAGTAAAAGTAAAAATTATATTTTAATATTTATATAGATAGCAGCTAAGATCCAACCATCCTCCAAAGCCAGTTCAACTACCGGATCTATATCACCAGAAACACATAAAAGGCCTTCAGAAGATTACGCTAACTCTTCAGGTATTTTATTTAAATGCACTCAATAAAATTTGTAATTTAATTATATACAATTATTTATTTAGAGCCAGAAAGAAAAAGGTTAGCAACATCTCCGGTGGCTTTAGCCGCCGCTCAAGCAGCAGCCGTGGCCGCCAGAGTGGCAGCAGCAGCAGCAGCCGGTATCCAAGGCATCGGTGGGCCTGGATCACAATTTGGCAACGTTGTGAATGAAGAAATAAAAGTACCAGACAAAATGGTTGGTCTCAGTAAGTATAAAATATTCATATTTTTTAATTGTATTTAGCAAATTTGATGTACTATGCGCATTAACCCTTTGCAAAGTTATAGGCCGCGGTGGAGGGCAAATTAGTCGACTACAGGCTGAAACTGGATGTAAAATTCAAATGGCACCAGACAGTCCAGGTTTATTAGAGCGATCTTGTACTCTTACTGGAAATGCTCAAAGTATAACGTAAGTATTTAATTATAATAACATATTCATTTATAATTTTTTTTTTTAATTCAAATTCAAATTCAGGCTTGCTAAAGAACTTATACAAAACATAGTACAGAATAAAGTATCTGTAGAAGGAACAGGTGGTGCAAAAATTGAAGGACTCAACATATCTTCTCCACCTTCTCAGCCAGCTTTTACTCAAGTATAAATTATTTCGTATTTTAACAATTAAGCGTAGTTTTTTTATACATTTATATTTTTAATAGGCTCAAATTATGATACCTGGAGCTAAAGTAGGACTTATTATTGGGAAAGGAGGTGAAACTATTAAAATGTTACAAGAAAGTTCAGGAGCAAAAATGATAGTTATCCAAGATGGACCCAATAGTCAAGAAAATGAAAAACCGTTAAGGATATCTGGTGAAACTGCCAAAGTTGAGGTACATTTTTCATAAGATGAATTGTAAAATAAAACTATATTGATATTATTCTTAAAATCATTTTTAGCATGCCAAAAAGTTAGTGTATGACATGTTGGGAGTTGGTGAAAAAGATGGATTGGTAAATGATTTTTGTTTTTTAATTTTAAAATAAGCATTAAAGTTGTTTAATTAGCTAGAAAATTCTTTTAACCACATATTCAAACCTGAAATGAATAACTTAGTTTTTTAGTTTATTCTTATGATTGTAAACAACCTTATGTTTAATGATTTTTTCATCTTTGATACTTGTGTATTTATAAAGAAATTATCCCTTTTACAATTCTAGTCTACATTTGATCAAAATGGATCAAATTGGAATGGTTCTAACAGTGGTGATTACAGTATGCATTCTGGTTATGGCGGTAAAGTTGAGGTAATGATTATTTATGTATCCTATCAAATATTTTATTTTGTTCCATGTTAGTAAATATTCTAGAGTCCATTAATAATATTAGTTTTATAGTTATAAAATTTTATATCACCTATGTATTTTGAAAGTTGCTTTTAGTCATAAAATTACTTTTTTAATATGTTTTGTCTTTTTATTAATTGTTATGTGTTTATAGGTTGGTGTACCAAAGCAAGTAGTAGGATTAGTTATAGGTAAAGGTGGTGATATGATTAAAAAAATCCAAGCTGATACTGGTGCCAAAGTTCAATTTATAAATCTCAATGAAGATACCCCTGATGATAGGAGGTGTTTAATTACTGGTAATCCTGATCAGGTAGCTGAAGCTAAGCAAAGAATAGAATCATTAGTTGATAGTGCTTTGGTAAGTGTATTCCCCAATCATTTATTCATTGCTGTTGTAATAACTTTTTTTATTCTAGAATCGAAGTGGCAATAGACCAAGTGGAGGTAACTTCAACAGAAATCAAAGTTGGGGAAATAGTGGCCAAACCCAACCACTAAATGAAACAACATTCACTGTACCATCTGCTAAATGTGGAGTTATTATTGGAAAAGGTATTTATGTTTATATAAACATAAATTATATTTTAAAATAATATTTTTTTTAATTGTTTTATTTTTAGGAGGTGAAACAATTAAGCAAATAAACTTGCAAACTGGTGCACATTGTGAAATAGATAGGCGGCACAACAATACTGGTTCTGAAAAAACATTTGTCATACGGGGAACTACTGAACAAATTGAAAATGCTAAACGCATGATTAATGAAAAACTAGGATATGTATGTCATTAATTTTTATGTTATCTTATTTTATGGTTGTTTTATTTCATAATTTCATTTCATTAGCAGGATCCTAATGGTGGTTCTCAGAGTTATAGTAATATGAACCAACCACAACCACCTTATGGTTCTCAAATGGGTTGGGGTGGTCAGGATGGTCAAATGAATGCATATGGTCAAGGTTGGAATCCAAACATGCAACAACAGCAACCACAACAGCCAACTGATCAGAGTAAATACAATTACTTTTTTTTTTTTTAATTAACCTTTTCACTGCTGAAATAAATTTCTCTTTAATGTGTGCTGTGCTGTGCTGAATAAATTTTAAATTTTTTGAGAATTTTAAATTTCTCGTTACAAAAAGTTTAATTGCCATATATTCTGGGAAAAAAAATTTGACAGAGTTATTCAATTTTTTATTTCCCTAAACCAGAGGTTCTCAAATCTTACACATATTCATATAAACAGTTCAAATATTACCGTATACATATAATATTCTTTTTTTTCATAGTACAAACAGTAAAAATTTACCTAGATGTAAAAAAAATTATTATCATTGCCACTGATGCAGTATCACTTTTATTTTTTGGTAATCATTGGAAATGATAAAATATAAATCCATTCATAACATCTTTGGAATTGAACGGAAACAATTTTTTTTTCAATTAATTTGTTACTTTCTTCTCCAGATAGAACTGCATATTTTGTTAATGTAGTAATTATACCTTATTTTATAATAGAGCTAAAGCGTATACGCAACAGTAGCGCTGAAAGGGTTAAAATTGTTATTGCTTATAGTTGTAACAATTTTCTTTTTTTAAATTGTGTTGTATACTTTTTCTTTTTGTGTTTAACCTTATAATTGATTTTACAGTTGGATATGTGCTCTACTCTTCCTTGTTTCCAGCTAAGTTCTTCAATTCAGTATAACTTGATAGCCTTGCACTAAAAATTATTTGTTTGACCAATAAAGTTCTTGGACATCCTTGATTTCTCCTTTAATTTTCTCTTCTATTATTTTATAAATTAGTTCATTATTGTGCTCAAAATTTGACCAATTGTGTTCTATCATCTTGCTTTGATGTTTTTTGAGTATGCCTCTATTACTCTGAGTATATTTTCATTGGTACAGTGTTCTATCCAACTCACTTGTAGTATCCTTCTCCATCACCATATTTCATGACTTTTGAGGATTCATTGCTCTGCCTTATTTAATATCCAGATTTCACAATTGTATACCGCTATACTACATATGTATACTTAAATGATGCATTTCTTTAACCGAACACAAATGCTATTGGAGCATAAACATTTCTCTTATTCATAAATGCTGACTGCCTGTGCAATTCTGGATCATATTTCCATGATGCATTGGCCATCTTGGTTAATTGAGCTGCTTAGGAATATTAAATATTCAACTTGTTCAAGCATTCAATTCCCTGATTAGATATTAATTCTAAGTCTAATTTTTGGCACATCATAATTTAAGTTTTTGTATCCCTATTTTAGTGATTATATAATAAACATAAATATAAATAAATGTATTATAATATATAATTGTACTTTAGATAGTGCAAATCCAATGTCTAATGCAAATGGTGCCCAGGGAAGTTCAGATTTCAGTGCCCAATGGATACAATACTATAGATCTATGGGTATGCATAGAGAAGCAGAATTCATTGAACAACAATCCAAACAAATGAAGGTATGTTTCTTAAATTTTTCATCATGGTCAAAAATTATTTGGTTTTTATTCTTAAATAATTATTTAATATTGGTTTTTTTAAATACTTCATGTTGATCACATTAACTGTGATCTTATATATATAATAAGTATATCTTATTAACCTATTTTAGTTCAAATTTACAAAAGCTATTTGTTTTACATTTGTATACATCTCTGTATTGTTGTAGAATTTACATAATTTAATTTTAAGTAAATGTATTAGATTTTCGTAATAATTTTTCTATATATTTATAGTCTAAAGTTAGTGAATGTATAAAACCTTAATTAGGTTTATTAATTTATACTCTAATTAATATATAGATTCATTCTTATTCAATTTAAAGAAGAAAAAAATTATTTTTCTTTGTACTGTAGTAATAATAACATTAAATTTTAACTATTTGATTATGTTTAACGTTATTAAAAATAAATGTTACTGGCAAAGTAATGAAAAAGCATTATCTGTGAAATATTTCAAATGTTTGATTTAACATTATGCCTATAACATATGTTTGATGAGGCGAATTCTAATTTTTATAGTTCAATCAGATGAATGGAACCAGTGCAGTACCAAATCCAGCTAATGTACAGCCGCAGCCTCATGCAATTCCTCCAAATGGAACGGCAGGTGTAATGCCAGTTGCTGCTTTATCTGCTAATGGCAGTGGAAGCAGTGCTGGAGTTAGTGCTGGTGCTGGAACTCCTGATTATAGTGCACAGTGGATAGAGTATTATCGATCAATTGGCAAAAACAAAGAAGCTGATATGGTTGAACAACAAGTTAAAGCTAGGGTAAATAAATATTCATGTTAACATTGAATTTAAATGTATTTTCATTTTTTTTTTTTTTTTTTATAAAATTAGGAGTTACTTTCATATTATTATTATTATTATTATTATTATTAAAATCTTAATTCTTCCTTAAAAACTAATTCTATTATTATAATTATATATACGTTATCATTTCTTAATGATATCAGGCAAAGATGACTTTTTGTATATAATTCAATTTAATCTGTCTAATTTAAATATTGTTATCAAACAATTGTCAATTATCCAGCTTAAATAAATAAATTACCCTATTAAATAATAAACAGTCAAGTGTTGCAAAGAGTAGCTTTCTCCCAAAGTGATATTGGTAGTTAGAACAGTAGTTTGATCCAATAAATTTGCTTTGCGAGGATTTATTTCCGATCTTGTGTACTCACTGTTTTCTTCATTGTGAGCAGGTGATTGACGCGTATTTAGTATATTTTGTTTTCGTTTAACTAAATAAAAATATTATTAATCTTGATAGCCAATATGTTGATTTTCTGCCGTCCATGTCATTAATATATCTTCTACATCCCGGTTCGGGAGACGTTCTATAGACCTCTAACTTTTGATTTTCCGTGCACTATTTTAACATCACCCCACAGTAATTCATTAATTACACTATTGACAAACTCTCCTATTATCGATATCAGTAATTTCCACATCTGATAGTTTTAGAATATGAACAATATTGACAGTTGATGGTTGACTATTGTTTTTAGCATGTTGCTGTTGCAAATTAGTTATCGTTCTAATAGTTACATTGTAAAGCTGGTCTCATATGACTTGCAACATCATAATCACCAATGTTTTGGTGTAGGAGAGCGATGCGTTATAACATTGCCTAATAAACTACGGAAATGATAACAACTTCTAGGCAATGATATAATTTCTTTCCGCTATTAGGATTTTTCATCATTTCCTGAGAATTGTTGTAATTTCCAGTAACATATTTATTTGAATTCTGAATTCTGATCATTATTCTTAAGGTAACATACAAAATTAAAATAAATCCATCTATTGATAGAAAACAATTAACTAGAATACCATTAATACATATCTAGTTATAATTAAGTAACAAAAACTGTTTTAATTTAAAAGATTGGTCAAACTAATGGCCAACCAAGTGGCGGGTCAGATCAGTCACCTCAGCAACAACAGCAACAACAACCTAATGCTTCTAGCCCACAATCTGGACAACCACAGTCGTTAAATGATGTATCAATGTATGGTGCACAGTATGGTATGGCTTATGGTGCAGGTGGTTATTATGGAGCACAAAATCCTGGTGCCGCTCCCACAGGATACGGAGCTTATCCTGCTGCAGGAAATGCTTATGCAGGATATCAACAGGTGCCACAACAAGATCCGCCCCAACAATAATGAGGTAAGGGAATGGTGGATACAAAACAATGTGCTTAACAATTATTAAGATGTCAATTACGTTTTAAGTATAAAAGAAAAATAGTTTTTTTTTTTTTTTTTATCCATAAATATTTTGCTTATCATGCCTTTTCAGGACTTACGTCAAAAATATACTATTAACTGTGTTATTGCAGAACGTCCAGATACCAGGGATATCCTCGCTATGGTCAGGTCCATTCATATTAAATCAATAAACAAATAGTTTTGTCTTCTCTACACATTTTTTTTTCTCTATTAGTATATTTAACTATGTTTAATTATGTACTATACTTAAATGTAAAGACATTTTGTAGCGCAAAAATTGAAAAAGCGATATTGTTTGTCTGAATAGTGTTGGCGATTAGTATAAATGTATGTGTATGTATATATATAAATATATATATATATATATATATATATATAGGTCAAATCGCCATAATTTATTTGGAGTTATGTTCATATGATGGCTATAATATAATCCTATTATTTTTGGTTATATGTTATCCATTACTATTCTATACAACTTGTTTATTACATTTTCTCATCTCCATTTAAATATATAATACACTATTCAAAATTTTATTACATTGTGAATTATTTCAAGTAAAAGTTTGAAATTGTGGACAATTTCAAGTTTGGATTTATTAGCATAATATTAAATTAGGTTCACAACATTAATAAAACAGTTTTTTCTTTCTATAATTTAATTTATCAAATTTGCATTTAGGATCCTTTTTTTTATAATATATAGTTAAGTAAAATGTTTTATGATTTAAATATTATTTACCAAGTTTTGTCTTGAACTGTATATTAAATAAATAGGTGATTTTTGTTAATTTATATTTTCTTTCGTTAAAAATAATTACAAGAAAGTTACTTAATATGTATCAATATATATATACATTTATATTTATATATATATTCTATGTGCATGTTTTTAATTATGCTTCCATTGGTTTATTAGGCTAGATTTTCAATTTGTTTTTCTTGCACAAAACTTGGTAAACAATTCAAAAACCACTTAATTTTAATATCTTATATATAATAAAAATTTCATATGTTTACCTAAATAATTATTTATCTTAGAAAAAATACATTTATAAATAATATAACTAAAATTTGTCATGTGTGAAATGTTTGTTTAATTTATTTTTACCTTGTTTACAGCATGTCGTTCAAACAATTACCAGGTTTGTACGAAGCTAAGGGTTTTTAATTATACCAATGTCCAAACAAATGAAATTTTATTGTCATAAATATTTTTATTTTATTATCTTGTGGAAATATGTTTGATTTTATAAATTTCAGTGGGAAATGTCTGGTGTCTTGAGGTGGAGCCTGACATTGGGAAAGGTAATTTTCTAATGGTTTCTCCAAATAAAATAAAAAAATTAAAAAATTAAAAACTTACATGTATACATATTTTATATATATTTATACGTACACTTGTATCATTGATAACAAATGTTTATTTCGGAAATTTGTTAACAAGATTTTGTTAAATATTTTATTTGTTTATATTTGATGATTTTTGAAAATTTGTTTCTGACATACTTCTGTTGCTTGTTTCAGATCACGCGACAAAGCGCATTTAAACACTATAATTTACTTTAATAATTTACATGTTGTGCAATTTACTATTTTGTATGTACATATTGTAATATTATTAAAGTGTATTAACATTTGATTAAAAATTCGAAATATAATTATAGATGAAATATTTTACATTATTTTTTATTTTTACTGTAAGGTACATTTATCAATTGTTTATAACTGTTGTTATTAATAACCATTGGACATTGGTATGCATTTCATTGATGTTGGCGATAAAAAAATTGAAAAAATTGTTACTCATAAATATATGAATACATTTGATTGCCTTCATTGTCAATTATATATAAATTAATTTGGAACATTTTTTATTTTAAATGTTTAATTTTGTAAAATTATAAGAAGTATTAGGTGTTTTCTGTTTTTTAAAAATTAATTTTATCAAACTATTAATTCATTTTAAATAGATATCAAAATCTTTGAAGGCTTTAATTATTATTATTTTTTTAAATCATTCTAGGAGATTTTTAAAGCTTTGTAGAAGTAATCTTGGTAAGTCTGATATTTGAGTCTACATTGATTTATTTTATTGTTCTAGTATTTAAAAATATTCTATAAATTGTACTAATAAGTAATAAGTTGCAGAAGAATAAATTATTGTTAACAGTTATTAATATGTGTTATTTGAAAAATAAATAAGGGATAGAATTATTAAATAATGATTGACTAAATATTAAATAAAGAAAACATAGAATAAGGGTGGGTATTAAATGAAGTAGACAACACAACTATTCCATTTTGGTATAACTATATTATTTTAAAACTCAAAAAAATATTTTTAGTTTTAAATGTACATTTTTGTCATCAATTATAAATTTTAGTTTTGATCTACCATTAATAAATTTAATAAATCACTAATACACTTGAATGCTAATAAATATGAGTGAACCACTCCACACGAGTAAAATTATGACTTAATTGTTTGTTTAAATATTTTACAGATAAAGAAATTCCTAATTAATTTTTATTTTAATTATATATATATATATAATAAATTGTTAAAAAACTAATTTTAATCTAGAGCAGTCTTTTTCAACCTGGAGGTTGCTAGCCTTTTAGTGATCGTCAACTTATTATTTAGGGTCGCCTATGATTTAAAATTTTAATCAATACAAATTTAAAAGTTCCAATAGTAAAATAAAATAATAATAAAATTAAATCAATAGATATTACAGTATTACATAATACGAGTATATATAATTATATATTAAAACAGAAATCAACTGGACATTTCATCAGCTATGAGAATTTAACAAAGTCAATTACATCAAGAATTGACAAAACAATTACATATCAACAGCAACACCCAAACCATTAAAAACCTTAATTTATAAAAATATATATATATAGATTAAAATATTTGGTATACATTTTTTTAATTAAAAATAATTATTATATTTGTATTTCATGTACACTGTACAGTGTTCAATGTACAGTACTTATATTAGTATTAATTATTAATAATAATATATGCAATTATATTAAAAAATATATATATGTAGAGGTCACTAAGAAATTTAAATTTAAAATGAAGGTTAGTAAAAGAGTAAAAAAGTTGAGAAACATTGATCTAGAGAACTTCATTAAATTTAATTCATTTTTGCTGTAAACTTTGGTAAAGAAAAAAAATTGTGTATTATTATTTGAGAGAATTACGTAATTTATTTATAAATTGTATTTTAAGATTATTTATAATTCCTTATAAAAAATTTAATTCTGTGGACTCCAACAAACCCAATAAAGTATAAATAGTCTCTTTGTTATTTTCAATTCATTGATTTTTAAATATTCATAATTCAGTTAGAGTAATAGTAATAAAATAAGTCGTACATGCATTTAAATTTCCAAATTTATGTTCATTTAACTGTTTCTATTAATTTTTGGCAAAAAAAACTACTGTGGTTAGTAATTAATTAAATTATAAAAACATAATTTGTTATAAACTTTTATTATTAATCAGTCTAATATTTTTTTTTTTAATATATCAATTTATTAGTGTGTATTAATTTTTATAACTATTGAACATAGTAAAATTATGATATTTTGCATATAAAATTAATGTTGTTGATTTAACAATATATAGTTAGTTAAGACACTATGACTATGGAAAGGCTATCATATAACAACTTTAAAATCATGTTTGTACGATCGTTGGGACCTATTAAACGTAAACATGTAAATCAATATTATGTTACTTTTATTTCCAAAAAAAATTATGTATTAATAGTTCAGTAAGAGTAAAAATAAATGGTTCAGTTTTAAATATTTATGTAGAATCTCAATCAAGTAAACTTCCCTTATAGATGTTAACTGATTCTGTAATAATAATAATAAAAAAAAGTATAAAAAATCAAAATATACTCGTATTAAAATTACGATTAAAATTATAGTAACATTGTTAAGTTGTATTGAATTAATCATAGCTGTTTTTTCTCTATTACGACTTCTTTGTAATTACATTAATTGGTGCCGATATTTATGACTATTATCCACAACATTGTTAAGTTTTGATCAAGCTGAACAAACATTTTAAATAAATGTAAGATACGATGATATTGATGATTGCTACCTGACAGGTAGGTCGACATTCAATTATAGCCTAATAATTTTATTCTTCGCGCAGGAACAGCAGATAAGTTAAATATAATATTTGTTAAACAAATCTCTACTTATAAACTAACTGCTACCGTTCTGAACCGTGTTAGCATTATACAGCTGTTACCTTTTAAAATTGTAATTACAACGAGGACACGTCATTAGCTTGCTGCAGTTGGAGTAAACTTATACGGGCAATTGTTTGTATTTAAATTATTGTTAGTTTGCTAAGTGATCACACATGATTTCTAGTAGAACCACACATAATTAAATGTATTTGAGCTTATTTTAAATGAATACATTTAAATTAGTTATAATTATAAAGGTTCTGACAAAACATACTTCAATTAAATGATTACCACCGTCTCGTCCTTAATAATATTCGTTATGTTAGTGTTATGAAACTGTAATATATTTTCTACGAATTACCTAAGTTTTTAAATTATCCAAAGCAGTGCTGTGGCACCGAACAATATTTTTAATAATTTAATCAATAGCCAAGTCCCCCAAGGACATATTTTAGCATTTAGGTACTGAAATTTCTTAGATAGTATTTATCCAAAAGATTATATTTTATAGTTAGCTGGATTAGTTTAATTATAACTTTTACTAATCCACGGAACCTCCCTAAAACTATTTTCTGACAGGATTGAACTCCCGAGTAGTGTATATGGTATCCAACTTCGCTGATAGTGTGATACCATTGATTTTAAATACTAGTATTTGTAATCAATGGTGATACTAATGTAATCATCGACATTTAAGCCAGGTTTACACTAGGATAGTACTCGGCTGAGTCACTAAAACTTGTTACTAAATTGCGTCAAGTAAGTGTCTATATACAGTACAGTAAAATTGATTAATATTCATGTCTTCTAATACAATAACTAGGTAGGTAAGCACAAGATATACTTTTTCAGTTCTATCATTGTGTTTTATCTTTTTTATAAAGTTAGCTGTTGTTGTTTTGTGAGTTAAAAATGTGTAAAGAAGTTTATATAGATAGCCTATAGGTTATATTATACACAGTT